TCTACATACATACATACCATTACATATCATAACATATGTATAAGTCTATCATACATTAATAATACATACATCAATCACATTCAATTACATAATACATATGTTATACTATAATGCGTACACTACATACATACATATGTAGTAATATTATTACCATTACATCATACATACATACATCACATATGTATATTATATACATAATACAATATACATACATAATACATACATTACATACATACATATGTAATATATATGCTACATACATACATATCTATACAATACATACATACATACAATGTATATATATATATATACATACATACCATATGTATATTATAATCATACATACATTACATACATTCTGTATATATAGTACAACTAATACATACATAATATGGGTTATATATACATATATAAAAACATACATAACATACATATGTATACCTATATACAGTATAATATCATACATACATCATAAATACATAAGTATATATACATACATACATACATAATGCATACATATTATAATATATACATACATACTACATATGTATACATATACATATATGTATACGCTTAACCATTATGACAGGTGTCGCCACATATAAGACACCAGGGGGGGGGGGGGGGGGACTTTTATTTTCAGCTTCAAAATAAACCGGCAGTAGTGGGTTATGTGTCCTTGAGTGAGTGAGTGAGTGAGTGAGTGAGTGAGTGAGTGAGTGAGTGAGTGAAGAGTGAGTGAGTGAATGAGAGTGAGTGAATGAGAGTGAGTGAGTGAGTGAGTGAGTGAGTAAGTGAGTGTGTGAGAAGTGAGTGAGTGAGTGAGTGAGTGAGAAAGTGAGTGAGAAAGTGAGTGAGTGAGTGAGTGAGTGAGTGAGTGAGTGAGTGAGTGAGTGAGTGAGTGAGTGAGTGAGTGAGTGAGTGACGTGAATGAGTGAGTGAGTGAGTTGAGTGAGTGAGTGAGTGAGTGAGTGAGTGAGTGAGTGAGTGAGTGAGTGAGTGGTGTGTGTGTGTGTGTGTGTGTGTGTTGTGAGTGAGTGAGTGAGTGAGTGAGTGAGTGAGTGAGTGAGTGAGTGAGTGAGTGAGAGAGTGAGTGAGTGAGTGTGAGTGAGTGAGTGAGTGAGTGAGTGTGAGTTAGTGAGTGAGTGAGTGAGTGTGAGTTAGTGAGTGAGTGAGAAAGTGAGTGAGAAAGTGAGTGAGTGTGAGTGAGTGAGTGAGTGAGTGAGTGAGTGAGTGAGCGAGCGAGCGAGCGAGCGTGCGTGCGTGCGTGAGTGAGTGAGTGAGTGAGTGAGTGTGTGTGTGTGTGTGTGTGTGTGTGTGTGTGTGTGTGTGTGTGTGTGAGTGAGTGAGTGAGTGAGTGAGTGAGTGAGTGAGTGAGTGAGTGAGTGAGTGAGTGAGTGAGCAAGAAAATGGAGTGGAGTGTGCATGTGAATGTACATGAAATCTGAGTAAGGCTACACAAAAAGAGAGAATAGTGATAAATCAAGAAGTAACACATCATTACCTAACCTAACCTGTGACCTTTAACCTTTAGATTGGATCCGGATGCTTCACTTCTGGCAAGTGGCCTAAAATCTGGACATTAGGCATAATTGAGTAGCCACTCTTACAGGTGTGTGGCTTGTAGGCCAGGCACACAAATACTTGAGAGCAGTGGTAAGACTCCAATGCCTCCCCTTTGCAATGCTATTTTTTCTGCATAAGTATTTTTAGCTCTTTTGCCCTTTTCCAATGTCTCTATCTGTCATCTGATTTGCTTTATCCTGATGGTAATAGATCAATTTCCTTGCACAGACTTCATGTCATCTCTTATTTGTGTCATTTCATAATTTTTTTGTGATAATAAATTTTCTATATCATTGTCAGCAATAGGATCCTAAGCATAGAAATAGAGCCAGCGCTCTTCCAGGCTTACGGACGGTACATTTCTTGCTGACTTAACATAGGAAATAATACAAGAGCCCCATCCTAAATGCCCAGAGTTTAATATCCCTCAAAAATATTTGTGCACTTGTGAAGTCATAACCGTCACTCCAGCCCTCAGCCAAATCTTCCTATGTCACCTACCCCTTAAACCAAATTTTTCATTACAAGATTGTCATGTCATCCAGATCAAAGTGGTTAACCTGATAACCAAAAATCCTATGTTTCCCAGTTACCCTTTACTCATCAATGGAGGCCAAGTCTTGCTTTCAGCTTTGGAAAAGACGAGATATATTAGCTCCTGGACAAAGCAGGTCAATATAACAAATCAAATCCATTTCATAAAATGTGATGTGAAAGAATGCCTAACAATTAAATATAATGAACATCAAAAAGATACACTTTCTCCCACTTCTCATTTTTTTGTGTTGGGATGGCATGATATACCTGCACATGTAAAATCATGGCTTCGCAAATGTTTAATCACCTAGGAGTCAATTATCAGTTCTACCTATTTCACTTGTTTACCCTTTTCTTAAGTTTTTACAATAATTGTTTACCAAACAATGCAGGATAATCACACTATCTACTGTCTTTTTCTTCTCTACGAATTTGGTTTACACAGATGGCTCCATAAGTGCTCTCACCTTGGAGACAATTACTAACCCTATGTGTCCTCGGTTGATTTCTCCTTTCCTTGAGTTTTCAGGATTTTTCATTCTAATGCTATCAATTGCTGCCGACATTAAAATTAATATATCATTAACAATACAAACAGTAATGAAAAGTAAAAGAATCATTCTAAAAGTCTAGGAAAAGGGCAAGGTAGGACAAGTAAATGGCTCCTTGATAAAGCCCTTGTGAAGCCGCGTATGTGTAAAACCAATCATCAAAAAGACTCGGTGGACATGGAAAGTATTCTTGCCATCCCCGCAACACTGGATCAATAACATCATAATAATCACAATGTTAATAATAGTTATATTAAGTGACAACATTAATGCCATCAGATATAAACAATTTTTCCTGAAAATTCAAAGAATGGGGAAATCAGGTGAGATCACACAGGCCTACTAAATAACACTTGTGGAGCCATCTGAGTGCAACAAAATTCATATAAAACTACAGTGGATGGTCTATGTACTCATAGCCAATGGATTTATTCCTTTTGGAAGTCAGTATCAAATTGTGAAAATAAATTCACCATACAGAAATATTTACATTACAAGCATTTGACACCTTGAAAACTTTGAAACATTGATTTAGCGTGGGATAAAAAGGTATCTTTGTAATGAACACTAAAATCCTTTTCACTTCCCCCCCCCCCCCCATCCTGAGCCTAATTCCAAATATTTCTTCTTGAAGATTTTGCTCTGACTGAGGAAGCCAAAATAAAACTCTTACCTCTTTTGGGAAATCTAGGTGGCTGAGGCTGCATAGCAAATGGCTGGGGAGTCATGACGTAAGCTGCTGACATCACTGTTGGCTGGTAACCCACAGGCGGTCCTCCTGCCATCTGTTGCAGCTGGTTTGTTGGGATCTGAGGTGTCTGTGGGGTGTGAGGCCTTGGTGGGGTGGTTGTGCTAGGTGATCTCTGTTAATTGGTTCAAAGAATGAACATTTATAGTCACTGTTTCACCAGTTATGAGACAGCGGAATGTGAAATTAAATATTTCTGACAACTTGCTTACAAAAGAATAAAAACAAAAATCATTTTCCTGAAAGTAAAGTAATGAAGAAATCAGAATAAAAAAATAAAAAGCA